GAATCCGACAGGAGGCCCCCCGCAGCAGGTCGCTTTGATGTCGATACAAATGTCCGAACGTGGACGCGGGCGGTTTTGATGAGAGGGCACTCGTTGGACGCGCAAAGCACACAGACTCACAAATCCGTTGTATATTTGTAATCAACGACCATTAATTAGCGTCAGCGCCGGCCCCGACCTGCAGCACCTGCAGTGGCGATTTGTTCGCCATTAACAAATCGCCGGACCACAGCTGTGCGCGCGTGTCCCCTGCGTGTCCCTCCTGCGCTCACCTGGAACATAAAAAATACGAATCCAAGCTTAATACAATTTGATATATGCGCCGAAACAATACGCGCTATAACAACGAAGTAAATTAAACTTTCAGCATGTTTTTTTACGCTCCAGATAAAAAAAACGAGTACATAGGTTTATAAAGCACCTTTTTTCGGTTTACTCGTGCATATAATACAGTTAATCATGTTTCGTGCAGGTCGCCGCAACTTTTTTGTTTGGCATGAACCCTGTGAACAAAAAAGTTTATAACAATGGCGCGGAGTGGTGTATGCGTGCGGAAAGCTCGCGCGCGGAATGAAGAAGGTCGCGGCATACTTTCGAAAAAGTTTATATATTTTCGTATTGACGTAATTCTGGCTTTTCGCTAATTTTTTTTCTTCGAGCGCACTTTTTAAGGTGACATTGCTGGTGGGGACGCGTGTGAGTGCGCGCAGATCTTAGCGCGATTGCTCAAGGGCTGTGAGAGTTGGAATTGGAGGACACGCGTGGGGTGGCGCCGCGCGTATTTTAAACTTTTTCATCTTGTAGCAGTCGCCGTAATAGTCCTACGATGGTAGTGGAAAGCTATATATGCGGCAGTGAACGGCGACAGCCGAATGATTTATAGCTTTTTAAACAGTTGAGCCGCCGGGAAACACGCAGCTTTGCCCAGGCTAAGCTTTCGTCTTTTCCCCGAAACCGCTCGCGCGCACTTTCCAATCGCTGCGGTTATAAATTATGTAAACAGACGCCAAATGCGGCCAAATCGATGGTCGGAGTGAAATAGAAATATGATCCAGGCGCAAATCTTTAATAGTGTCGATTGAAAATTAGACATATTTAGATTAATTATGAATAAAAACAGTATTTTACTATAACTTTATCATAAAATACATAATTAAATAACAATTTGTATGACATTTACGAAAAAAATCAATTTTTTCGTTGTTTGAAAAAGTTTACGTCAAAACAAAGGAAGGTGTAATTATGTTATGGAAAAAAATGAAAAATGGGCCTAATTCTACCTAATGCGATAAGAGTTTGGAATTTTTAACAACTCGCATCCATGTCAGCTCATTATAATACAAATGTTATTAAGCCTTCAACGAAATTAATAAAGTGCATGCGCAAAAAACGGAAATTTCTGCATAAATATGCAAAGTAAATAATTCGAAATGATGATTAAAGCTATATAGCGTAAATAAAAGGGCGAGCATCATTAAAAGTCTCGACGCATCAGCGTGTTACACGTCGTGTATATCAGAAAATGAGCGAACGAATGAATAGCGCGTGTGCAGAAATGGCCTGCCGAAGAAAATGCATAATGCATGAACAGCGTCCGCGAGTTCACGCCGCCAAACTGGGTTAAAATGCTTCGCGAAGAGCTTTCACATCTATCCGGCGCAGCGTGCGATGATACAGTTTATTCTTTGTGCATTCCGCCGGGGTATATTGCTGCACACACTCACGGAAATCTCCTCTGCGGCCGATACTTTTGGTATTTCCTGACACGCGGGGCTTTTAAGTTAAAGGATGAAGGGTTTTCTCTGTATCGAAAAATATTGACAACATGCTTGGCGCTTTAATTAACGCGCATATACATTGTGCAAAGTTTTATTGTCGTTTTGTTTTTGGCACGTCTACGTAACTCCTGACGATAAATCGGAACCCTCTCTGGAAAGTGGGGCCTCGACCAGAACCAGTTCGGCGCGTTTCGGCAGGAATCGAAAGGGCGTTACGACGCGGCGGGCATTTATTTATTGCTACCCCGATACTAAAACATTCATGCCCGCCAGAGCAATAGCTCTTCCCCGTGGCGTTGGGCTGTTTTGTTGTGGTGATATCTAAAGATAACTCTGTTCGAATACCGAAGGATTGCTATATTAATGACCAATCTCGAGCGGTGAGCACAGACCTTTCCATACGGATGTATTTTAACTAAATATTCAGCTAGGGAATGTATTTTTGTTGATTTCGTGGGATGGAAAATGTGCAATGTGGAAACTGTAAGCACCCTGTATTTAGTAGTTTAGGAAGCATAGTGGCATAGTGCTGGATAAGCTTGAAAGGCTTTAGTTGTCCGGACACATCGGACGTAACGTCCGATTGGCGACAACAAATAGAAGAGCAGCGATGCGTGGCGCAGCACCCAAACCATAGAACAACATCAGCTTGGTTGGTGTGTATACCCAGAGCGCAATTGATTTTTTGCCTCCCGTGCAACCAACAAAATGCAAAACCGGCAGAAAACACACCGCAGGAATCTAATCCGCGTGTACGCATTTTTCCGATGAAATTTGATGGAAAATTGATGCAAAGATTGCGCTCGCGCACGGTTCGATGGCCGAAAATCAAATTTTCATCGCGTCTAAGTGACTGAGTGAATGAATGACTGGCATATATAAGAAGAAAATTGCCCGAGCGTTTTCTCGCCTCCTGCGCTCATCAGAAGGATCCAGGCGTGTGACGCCTGCTGGTTGGCTCGTCATCGCACATGAGATCCCGAGCGAAGCAAAAGGCAGTAAAGCAGGAAGGCGATGCGGTAAAACATCCTCGCAGCAGCGTGTGTGCGCTTGTCTGCTTTTTGATTCGCCTCGGCGAGAATATCCACGGATAAGTGCGGACGAGTGTTTTTTACTCTGCAGACAAGTGTCTTTCACACGTACCAGTTTTTTTGCGCTCACGCCACACATTAGACCAGCGTCTATTACGTAATTTCGCAGAAATTCGCTTCTGGAGCGCTTGCACGACGCGGCATAAAATATAAAAAGGGCACAAAGAAAACATCCACACAGTTTATAACAACATGCGCATACACCTACAACGGTTTTTTCCTCTCTTGCGTGGTTTTAATCAATTCTGCGAAAGCTGCATATTTTGTTACGCAATATGCCAAGAAAGAATGTGATATTAAATTGATCGTTTGTACTTTCCGCGAATTCAACAATATCCAATAGAAATGCAAGTTCAATTTAAACAAATATCTTGTTTATTTCTTTGCTTTTTTTGATTCTGCGTAAAAGTTACGGTAAAAATAAATCTAATAAATACCAAATCAGATTACATCAACCTTTTCATTGTTTTTTTCTTCTTCTTCGAAGACAACTTATGATACTTGAGCACTTCGCTGTAGACAGCAAGATAAATCTTGGAATAGCTGGTTTTATTATCGTCTGGCGGGCAGTAATAAATTAGCGGCAATTAATGCCTGTCCAAACGTATGTGCGTTTAGAATTTGATACGACGCGCGGAGCGCATTAACAGATTGCATTTGGCGATATAATGCCGCGGAGAGCAAAAACTTGTAGCGCCCCGAGCTTGACGAAACTAAATTACCAAAAAACACACACACCACCTCCGCATGACGCGGTCGCGGTGCGCGCGAAGTTTCCTTCACCCTCGAGACTAATGCGATATATAATGCGAACATCGTAGATTCCGCAATGCGAAGTGAGAATGATCAATTATGATTTCGAATTTTCGTGCGCTGGACGTTTGAGGGGATCACGCGCGCATGCGCACAGGTACCTATATACATATATGCGAGCTAATGGAGTTCATTAATTTAATGCGCGGATCGAGATTGTTACAATACACTGCTAGGGTGAGTAAAAGGAAAGGTTTTCGAACCGGCGGCGGCGGTGGTGACGGCGTGGCGGGTTCCATTAATTTATTATATTATGCTAAGGTGCGCAGAGGCGTAAGGACGCGCGTAGATAAAGGGGTGGAAACAAAAGAAAGAAACTATGGGGTAGAGTGCGGCGCTAAGTGGCGTGATTAATAACCCGACCGTGACCATGTCATTCCATGGTAAAGTAATCTTTTGCGAAAGCCTGAGTTCAGTTGGTAAATCAAATCACATAAAAATTAAATTAAAACAAAATCGGTGGCTAAAACCCGTGAATAAAATACTTTAGTCACAGCTATAGCTATCCGTGTATAAAGTATCACTTTTTGTGCCTCAAAACCGTTTTAAAGGTGGAAGTAGAAAAACCAATAAAATATATTCATACCAACACGTTGAATAAGAATGCAAGATATTCCAAATTCTTTCGTCCGAAAATAAATTCCAGCTATTTGCCAAAAGTATGCTCGCCGAAATCCTACATAAATTTGTGACTTGTGCAAACAGAGCGCAGACGACGCGCACGTCAAACAAGATTGTTTATTTATCCGTTGACAGCTGAAAGATGAACGATGATAAATAAACACTCGCTTGGCACACATACGCATCCTCGATGGATATTAATACAAGTGGCTCCGAGTGCCTCCCGACACATCGAAATCGATCTCTATCGATATTATATTTTATTCCATCAACAAACAACCCTCGAGCGTGCTTATTTGAACGCGAGCTGCATTCTATCCTAAACAGCTAAACAGTTTAATAGTTTAAAGTTTAAACTAATACGGACGGATTTAATGAAGAAAAAAGAAGCAGGTGAAACGATATTGGGCCACCATACCACATCGAGGGTAGTTGCACGCTGAGAAGCTATTGTGAAAGTTGCGGACAATGAAAATGCATTACTACCAACTGTTACCGGGCGAACTCCGGCGGGCTATTATATTAAACTTCCACATAACAATCATTCGTTTAAATTTAGTTGCCACGCTTTGGCTTGAGCTAGAATTAGGGTGGGGGTGGTCTTTGAGTAGAAGATTCAATTCCAACCACTGGCTAAATACTAATACAGGCTGTTTATAATTAAAAACAATCAATAATAATTTTATTTTTGTTTCAGGATCAGATTTTCGGTTTTCAACGTCATGGTGAGTAAAATAAATATTTTTCAATTGAATATACGAAGTATAAAAAGTGTAAAGAGTAAACACGCTGTAGATAAAAATTAAATTTAAATTTACATGAAGGTATCTCATAGAATTGCAATGCCGTACACATACTGATAGGACGTTTAAATTGCCTTCATGAGGGTTGGTGTCGTGCGCGCTGCGCGCGGATTTATCGGCACGTTTATGAATATACGCTTTTTTATTCCGCGCGATGCACATCGCTCCCGCGGGATCGATGTGTATTCCTACAATTGTACATGCGATGTATAAAGATAGGATTGGTTGGTGATATTTGATCGTCGCGTGTGTGCAAACGTTCATGAATAATTAAACAGCGCGATACGCCGTGTATAAATTATAAAAAAGAAAGCGCACATGTATTTAAATAATACAAATGTAAATTATTGTTTATGGAAACTGATTTTTTTTTTGTTGTATTTTTTGTTGCGGTTTTTATCGCGCGCATGCGCAGTTGTAATTTCCACGCTCAATCTGCCCGCCCCGAATTAAATATCTAATATGAATAATGCGCTGTATATGCATAAGTAATATTTTATTTATATTTAAATTACTTTCCTCGGGCTTTTCGCTTTCAACTTTGTTTCGACTTTTTGTTCCCGAAAGTCTCGCGACGCGCTCGCGAACTTGAAGCACTTTCTTCAATTATTTACGAGAAACGAAGTTAGCGCCGGCTCCTTAACTCTCACCGATGCTCCGGCGTTTTGCTTTCTTTTCCTGGCGCGAGCGCACTTTTCGGACGAGTTTAATTTGTGCGTGCGCAAATTCAATTTAAGATCAATTAGAATTACTAATTGGTGTTAGGGACTTTTTAGCCTTATTTAACCCGCGCTTTTACATTCGCAATAATTTTTTTTGAGGCCGGAAGAAAAATGAAAAAAATATTAGCGTTGATTTGCTCGCTGAGGTCCGCTGAGAGGAAGGAAACGTTTTTTGTGTGTTGTAATTTGTAAAATTAGCCGATGAAATATGCTTTGTGGTGATTCGCTTCGATGTCGGCGCTCAAGCTCAAGAATTCAATGCGTATTGTTGTGTTTTCCGCGGAAAAACAGCGGCTAATGGAAAAAGTAGTTTTATTTTCAATGTACACGCCGACAATGGCGGTGGGCAATAAAAGCGCACCTTTTACCTTAATAGAACACTTTTACTTCATTGCAAACCTTTTCGCTCTTTACTGTTTCCCCTGGTAGCGCGTGATGGTGATTCTTTTTTTCGCGCGCGCTCTCGGATCGGTATTGTTTTGTGTTTGCGTTTTGTTATTTCGAACGCTACCGCCGTACGTTTGTCGTCGGCACAATGAGTGAAAAGGCTTTATGGCAGCTTCAATAACATCAATATGCTGCTTGATGCGAAACAAAAACAACAAAAAATATTTGAACGGAAAATTATTTTCACTCGGTATTGTTTTAGGGCCGCGCCGAAAATTCTCCGCCGAAACGCGCCGAAATTAAAAGTACGCTACCGACTAGGGCGCCTATTTTATTATGTACAAATAAATTTCTTACTTAATTAACTTTTTTTGTTCGCCGCGCTTTGTTTTTTTAAAGAGTTGCGCGGATGAAAATTTGTTCTCATTTGAATTTTCATTCAGTATTTGTTTACTGTGCTGTTGGGACACATTAACGCAAAGCTTAATCAATGGAATTAATTTGCTTTTGTCTAGAATAATTAGTTAATTACAGCCGGCGACTGAGACTGCGAAAAAAGTGCGAATTGCAAAGCAGCCAATTCAATTCTCAACTTGAATTCCAACAAATTGTTTTCTTTATTTACGACAACACAATAAATGAAAACAATTCACCGGAAAAATTAAATTAATTTTGCATAATTGATAAATAATTGATTTTCCTTGAACTCTTTTGCAATATTTGGCGGATAATAAAAAACCAAAAAATAACCCAACAAATTACCCCATTTTCTGAAAGACGTCAGACACGCGATTTCATATTTAGACTTCACTCACCATTGTGGAAAGTTTCCGTGTCTCGTGTGGAAGTATCTGACAATACATATTTTAATGAATCACATGTATGCCGCTTCATTTATGTGCAAATATGCGTAATTACCTGACCCTAATTGGCGTTACTAAAGAATATAAATAACGCCGGATTACTACTAATACGGGTTGCATCATTACATCGCCATCAGCCGCGTTATGGATATAAAAGTTAAGTTTAAAGCAAATTTATATAATATTTAATTAGCATCTGCGGCAAGGTAAAGTAATTAAAGTTGCGCGCGCGCGCTTTTTTGCGTTTGTTGGCGCGCGCACCGCACGAAAACAGAAGCTCAGACAAAATTCGCTTGTTGTTGTTGTTTCAATATCGATTTTCGTACGTGTTTCGAACGTAATTAATTACATTTAAGAGGTTTCGACAACGGTGGCGTCCAAAGAAGCGCGCGTGCGAATCAGCAAAAAGTCTTCGTGGAAAACTTGATGGCTAGCCTTATGTAGGTTTCAATTTCTTAGCGAAGTGCTAACAAGAAAGCAAACTTTGACTTGCTTATCACACAAAAAGCTTCCGTATATTCATTGTAAAGTGCGCGAGCACAAAAATTAACAACCATAACAAACACGGCGGAGGAAAATAATTTGATAATGCTCAAATTGAAATTTGATACTTAATCCGCTGCTATAAATGCAAATTTTTATCAAATTGATTTTTAACTCTACGACTTTAGATGCAGGCGAAAAAAAGTGGTTCAAGCATGGCACATTGGTGGCATACTAAATGCGCTCGCTTTTAATTTCTTTGGGAAGAAATGTGCGCGTGGGTGCAGTCTCGGCGCCTCCACCATCACACTCACGCGTTCTCATCGCAGTGCGCGCTGCAGAAAGTTTATTATAAAGTTGATTTAAAATTCCAATCTGGCCACCGCAAAGAAGCCACTGCCTTTTACATGCCACCCAAACATTTAACTTTTAGTAAATTCTTCATAATCAAGAATTAAATAATTTTATTTATTTAATTTCTTTTATTGTGTTAGTATAAAATTAATATTTTTATTTTATTTTGTGGAAGATAAGGAAAATTTAATTATTTTTGGTAGCAGCCAGTATAAAACCATCTCCACTTTCATCTCTCATTCTTTAATTTCCTTCGACAACTCGTAGACGCAGCCTGAAACGATGAAATCATTTTCTTTGCGTTGCTTTTCTTCTAGTTCGGCTGATGGCTGACTTTTTGCCCCGCGGGTCGGCCGGTGGCGAAAATATTTATAATAAATTCGTGCCGCGATCAACTCCAACGTTGTCGAGACATATTGGCGCTCTCGACGGGCGCTGCTGGCGGTTATAAGTGTGGATGCCGAGGATGATGGGTAAAAGGAGAGCCGCGTCAACTGCAGCTTCTGCAAAATGCTTTGATCTTGGCTTCACCGCACACAGCATCTCATCCTCTGCTGCGTCTGTCTCGCATATTCATTTCTAAACCAAAAATAATCTTCTTCCAACCAACAAGCAAAACAAGATTTTTACAACAACAAAAAAAAAGCACATAGATTTATTGTGTTAGTAATTTAACGGTTAAAGGAGTGAAGTTGTGGGGCAGGGGGTGAAACTGCGAAGTTGTAGCACGTGTGCGTGTGCCATGCAATAATGCGAAACTTAACTTCTTGTTGCTTAATTATAACTTTTTGTTTGCGACCACAGCGGATGGCGTGAGCGCTTTACGGCTCCCTCCCACTCTACTCGACTCTTATCCAGAGTCGAGTCGTCGAGTATTAAAAATGAAATACCCTGAGGGCGCTTATTGTATCGCGTTATTATTACCTATAACGTTTTAAGCCGCGCTGCAACTCGAAATTTGTATTATTGCTCCCCGTGGCTCAGTTTCGGAATGGAATTTTTATAAAGGGATACACGCCCGCGCGTGGAAGAAAGAAGAACGCGCGCAATTTTGAATATCCGAGAGTAGCTTTGCAGCGCTGAAGATAAATAGAGTATTTTTCTTTTCGAGGCCCGAATTTATTTGCGGATATGCGCGCCGCTAGGACCTGTTTCAACGCATGGCGAGGCGATAAAAGAAATGTGAATGCGTGCGCTGAATGAAACACTTTTTGGCGCTGCTCTGCATTCAAGCTTTTTTCTCTCGCGTCCCTGTCTCGCCATTGACGTACGGAGAGAATCGTAAAGTGCGTGCTGCAGGAGAAGTGTATGCACATAAATTTCAGCGATACAGCAAATTTCCATCATGTTCTTATTATTGAGCATCAGCAGAAATAAATGTTTCGTAAGAAAAAAGTTATTTTTGATTAGTTTTGGGTCATAACGGGCGCCGGCGGGTGGAAGTAATTTACAATACATCATTTGGAATTAAAACGTTAATAAATTCCACGACCTAGATGACTATTAAAAGCCTGTGTAACACGCCGAAACGCGCAAAAGTTGTTTTTCCCCTCTCAATTTTTTTCCAACTCTTAAACTCGACTGAAACTTGAAAAAGCATCATTTTTCATTCGATATTGTAGAATGTATTTTCGCGTGTGTACTACGCCGAGCAGCGAAAACTTTAACTTCCGGCGCTCATCGGCGCGATGTGTGCGTGAAAGAACGCGCGCGCGAATTCCACTCTCGAGGGCGAGTTCCAATAGGTTGTTATCCGACATCCCGGCTAACGCTGTCTAATATTACATCTTCGCGCGCGCACTTTTGCCGCCGCCACCGCCACCGGAAAACGCTTGCATGCAAAACGAGCGCCGAGCAAACAAGTTTTAAATTTGAACTTTTAGTGGCGCGAATACACTCGAATACATATTCGCTGCTCCCCGGTAATAAATGAAGTTATGAAAGTAAAACAACAGAACGCCAACGAGAAGAGGTGTAGGCGTAGGCAGCAGGACTCCATTGATTTTCGTTTCAATTTTTCAAATAACTTTGCACGTGAGCTTGTTACGCGAGTGTGAAACGAGAGAAATAAAAAAAACAACATACAACAAACGCGTTTTACTCCCGCGCGAGA